GTCTGTCTGTCTCAGTGTCTCTCTCTACTCATCCGTTTGTTTCCCCCACCGGTCACACCCTCACACACGGACACAAGCACACGAACGTTCTGTGACCCCTCTGTGCTCATGCATGCTGACGTGAGCATTCACTCACGTCACATGATCTCAGCTGGGAGATGAGAAATCCCATTAATTTCCTTTCGTTTTGCTTCCTTGCCCCTGATTTCCCTCCCCTCCAAGTGTGCTGCTATGCTGGAAAGTCCTGTACTGTAAGCCGAGCAAAACACTTCTGGCATTTCGGTGTGCAGCTGATCAAGCTTGTATGTGTTTTCAGTTTCTGATTCTTGTAATAAGCTTTGCAGCAGCTGACTGAGCCTGTCAGGAACAGGGAAGGGTGGGGTATGTAGTCATGTTGATCATTTGGAGTCACAGTGGTGCAGCATTGCAACTGTGAACTTGTAATGAACTCATGAATTACCATGAATTAGAAAAATAATGAATGTTTTGCACACTCTCTGTCTGCAGTTGGATTAAAAAACAAGACAGTCATGCCTTAAACTCACGCTACTGGTTGTGCCAATGTTGCTGCGTCAAAATGGATGCAATGCTAAGACAAAAAGAGCAGTGTTTTGACGTTGCTGCTTTTTCTTACGTATCTATTTACAAATCTATTTACTTTCTACTTTGACTGATTGGTGGTTAGCTGGCTTTTAGGATGCTAGCGTACTCCTGAATGTTAACAGAATTTACTTTTAGCATATATTCGCTTCTAAAATATTTTATTCTTATTATTATATTCTAAAAGAAGTCTTTTTCTTCTAGTAAAACTGCCCAAAAATTGATGACTCATCCTGTACTACACAGATTCTTGTCCAGTCCAATGTTGCATCCCTGACTGGTAGTAAATTATGGTTCAGGGCTGATGTAACTGCAGCTTATTGGATATTTTTTTTTAAATTAATGGCAAATGACAAGTCTTTGACCAGTTCTGCACAAACCTCCTGTTTCAGTGGTCAGTTTTAAGGTTAGCAAGATTTTATTTTAATTAATACTTGTGTTCACCAAGGATGCATTAAACTAATCAATAGTGATAGTAAGGATATTAATAATGGTACAAAAGATTTTCTATTTCAAATAAATTATTTTTTAAACTTCCTATTCATCAGCGAATCAGGTAAAAATGTATCACGGTTTCCCCAAAAATATTAAGCTGCACAACTGTTTTCAACATGATAATAATAAGAAATGTTTCTTGGGCACAAATTCATCATATTAAACCGATTTCTGAAGGATCGTGTGACACTGAAGACTGGAGTAACAGCTACTGAAAATCCAAAATTCTGCCAGCACAACAATAAATTACATTTTAAAGTAGAACACAGTTATTTTAAATTGTAATAATATTTCACAGTGTTACTGATTTTACTGTAAATGCAGTTTTGGTGAGCATAAAAACTTCATTCAAAAACATTATACCGACCCCAAATTTTTTAACTCAGGAATGGCCATAGTGTTTACTGCTACTCATGAATGTGATTACATTTTTGTACCAAGCTATTTTAAGCATTGTTATAACAACTTAAACTGTCTAAGTACAGCACAAACAACTATTAGGAATAATGAAGCAGCTATTAAGCAGCTATTATTTTCACAAGCTTCTATAATGAGCAGGCACAAATTCCAATGGCCTAAATAATCACTAGACTCAAATTTAATTGGAAGTCATTTTATGAGATGATCTTTCCTGGCCAGGCTCGATGGGCAGTTGATCAGGTCACGAAGGCCAGAGCTATTTCTGTTTTTCTTTTTTTTCTGCCTCGTGCTCCTTGTTTAGAACAGTAATATACGGTATTCCCGCCGAGAGCTCAAAGAGCGGGAATGTAGGGAGGCATCTGGAGCCTGGTGAGATTACTAAGCGAGCCGGCACGTTGCCACCAGGTGTCCGTTAGAGGCAGGGGATTTTTGATTGGAAAGCTGGCGGGAACTACCGCCTGCAAAGCCACACGTATCAGAGCAGACTGTGTCCAAACAGAAAGATGCATACTTCACATTCTCACTTGACTACTGTTTACATGCTGCATCCTGGATTTACAAGTGTCTTTTGATTTTTAGATGCTTCAGAGACATACCAAAGGGGTCATAAGGAGAAAATAAAACATGGGAAGCATGCTTGATTTTGTTGTATGGTCTGTTAGTTGCATTTACTGGTAGCACATTAAGTTCAGTTTGCTAAAGCATTAGGTATCATGAACAATGAACAACATGTTATGCAGCATTTATTAAAGTTAGTTTATGTCAACAAATAAAGCCTGGTCTATTCGCTGTATATTTTGGGTAAATTGTAATTATTGTTGAATATGTAACTGCTCAAAGTGGCTTAAAATAGCGCACAGGGACTCAAGGGTGGGATGCAGTTTTCCAGTGCCCCCTTCCTCCTCCTCATTGGTTCAGAATGCCACAGAGTGGAGAAAGAGACGCCTGTTTTGGAGATTCTCCTTGGCGCTGCAGACCACAGGGTGTGATTGCACGTGAGCCTGGATCCAGCTCAGAGAGAGAGAATGAGGAGTGTGTAAGTCATGGATAGAGGTTAATAATCCTCACTGACTCTGAAGAGGAAATAAAGATCCAGAGGGAGTTCAGCACACTCAGTGGTGCCTTGTGATACTGTCTAAACCTCTCTAATTTTTGAACCCACTTTTTAAATTGGTCTTAAAAAGTAAATGTGTTGTAAAATGTTGATAAATGCACATCTGTGAGCACACAACCCCTTGTGAAAAAGTATACTTTAGCATACTTTTAAAAAGAGTATGTATTAAATAAATAATATGCTTTAAAAGAATGCACTACTACTGTTTTTAGATTCTTAATTGCATGTTAATTTCAATAAAGCTAAACTATATTAAATTTTAATTTGCAAACTGCACTTTTAGAAGTTAAGAAACAGTCATGAACGTGAACTCTCTTTAATTACACTTAAGTTGCCTTTATTTCATTAATAGTAGATTCTCTGCAAGTACAAATGTTTAACTATACTTGCAGATTTGAAGTGCACAAATAAGTGCACATACAATACAATTAAGAACACATCTTTTTCACAAGGGTAGTCACATGTGAAGTCAAACTAACAGTGCATGTGATTTTGTGCATGTGAGTACAGGTAATGTGATTTTACATTGCACATGCATTTCTTACCTCAAATATTTGATTACACAGATGAGATGAAGTCTGTGCATGGACAATGCACAAAACCTACTGTAACTTGATAATAACTGAAAAAGTAAACTTACTTTATGTAATGCGCCGCCTTGTTTTAATCTGCACTGGTGCAGTTGCAATGTAGGCTGTTTGTTGTAGAGCTGAAAGTATAATGCATCTGTGTGGATTCACTTTTTCAAGCACACTTGTAGTTGCAAAAACAGCCAAATTACCAATAATTCAGTTGCAACATTCCCATTTATACCCAAATACACTTAAGCTACATTTCTCACTTTTGTGCATGTAAAACTTACTACTTTTCAGTAGATTAGATTAAATCACAGCAGCCTACATGGAGCCTTCTTGGTACACACTATGGCTCTATCCAAATCTTGCAGTTTTCCTGTGAGGGTTTTCTTTTTAAAAGAGGAAGATGTGGTTGGAAAAAAACTGTGCAGAGAGACATCTAGAGAGACCTGTATGTTTGAATGAATATGCCAATGTATTCTAGAGTGCTGCAATTATGAATGCAGGGCCGCTGTGCCCATTTCCTGGAATGCAGCACACGGAGCCGTGAAAGAGACTGTGTTTGCTGTGAGAAGACAAAGCCCAGGCACTAAGCAACATGTGTTTAGAACTACAGCCCCTTCTAGGAACGTCCTGGAATGCCAGGGGTGCTGCGCTGGTTTGGGAGAGCGCGTGTGTGGAGCAAAGGGAGGGGGCGTACAAGGAGCGTGTTTGTTTCCAGAAAGAACCAAACCTTTCACTGCCTCCAGTGTTTCCTGTGTTTCTGCGGTTACTTTGATAGTCACCTCTCTGTGGGTGTGCCGATATTCAAATTTACTCGGTGTTGCTAAGTGGTTCTTACCCTTTGGAGGATGCGGCTGCATGAAAGGCTCGTGTTGAGCAAATCTCCTGACATGAGCACAGTCAAAACGGTTTATGCTATGAAAACCAGAGTATGACTTTTATTTTTCTGTGGAACACAAAAGATTGTATTTTGAAAAATGTCTTAATTTTTTTTCTCTCCATCCGTACAATGAAAGTTAGTGGGATCCAGTGTTTTGGACCCCATTGAAAAACATTCTTCATATCATGATGGAAATGTTCTCTGTTTTATTTTGTTACCCCTTTTTATTTTATAGGTGCGTGCCTATCTGTCCCCACACATTTTGTTTGTAAGAACACTTGATCCTAAAACAAAAAGGGAGAAGAGCAGGCACTGTGTTTAGCCTCAGAGGACAGACGCACCTGTTTTCAGTTGTACTGTTAGTCTGATTGATGGGTCCCCTGAACTGGGTGGTCTGGACTGATGTTGCTGGGTAGTTGTGTGGTCGGAGCTGTCAGACCGATGTCTTGATTTACATGTATATTATTATTTATATAGCTAAACTAATCTGGAGGCCTGACTTTCTCAAGTTATTAGACATGATTGTAATTTAAAGGGATCGTTCACCCAAAAAGAAAAATTCAGTTTACTCGGCCTCATGTTGTTCCAAACTTGTATTTGTTTCAACTGTTTTTGTCCATATATTGAAAATCAGTGAGATTCAAAATGATACAACTTCTCTTACCATAAAATTGCCACAACTGATTTATCAGCATTTTTGAAAAGGTCTTTCATACAGGATCTCTAAACGGTAATTTACCAGGAAAGACTGTATGTGTGAAAGGGGGTAATGTCTTCTAAAAGTATGTAGTGAGTTTGAAAGCACCTCAAGAAGCATTTTATCTCATTTATCACATACATTGTCCATATGTGATACTGTATATATATGCTTTAAATTCCGTTTTAATCTTGCTGCATTTTCGTTTTGTTGTAGAATTTTCTTCTTTTATTCGTCACAATAACCGATGGCAGAGAATGTCGACGACTAATAACATAGCCCAGGCCAGGAAGTTGGTGGAGCAGCTGAGGATCGAGGCAGGCTTCGAACGTATTAAGGTACACAAGGTTTCATTATATATAGTGTAACATGCTCTCTATCAAGCAGTGTTTTTTTTTTCCTTGTAAAGGGGTCATAAGATGTGATTTAAATTTTTTTTTAAAGTTGCAAAGACTAAAGTCTAAAATCCAAAGAGATCTTCTTTATAAAAGTTAAGAGTCAGCCACGCCTACCTAAAATGGCTCATTCTAACACGCCCCCACATGTCTACGTCACTATCTGATAAGATTTGCATAACGCCACCCAAATGTTGACGCAAAGAAAGAAGGCGTAACTTTCATTCTCGCTGTAGTATTTGTACCTGCGCCGCCATGTCGTGAAGGCGCTGTGTGTTTCGTTTTGAAAGCGAAACTACTTTGTTTGGCCTTCCAAAAGAGGACGATATCACTTCGTCATGCCTGGAGCTGATCCGTGCTGGTCGCTGAGGAAATACTTCAACTTCGCGCTGTCGATCGCCGGATCGGCTTTCACCGTGGACGAAGCGGAGTCCAGCCGGGGTCGTCACATGTGGTTGTCGCAGGCATCACAATATGGTAAGGGATGTAACATTTCCGTCACACGCTTGAGGAATTCGGCCAATCACAACGCACTGGATAGCTGGCCAATCAGAGCACACCTCGCTTTTTCAGAACGATGAGCTTTGTAAAAATCGGCACGTTTCAGGAAGGCGGGGAATAGAGGAGAAACAATAATGTACAGTATGTGGAAAATAATGTGTTTTTTGAACCTTAAACCGCATAAACACATTTCATTACACCAAATACACAAAATAATGTTCTTTTTAGCAGCATCATATGACCCCTTTGAATAATGATTGTTACATTGGTGGCTGAATGAGAAAAACTGTTTCAATAATCCTGTTAAATTTACTGTGACTGTATTACAAGGTGCCTGTTTGTTTTACACCTTACATCCGTGTAGTTCATTAAGTAATATAATGTTACTATGACCATAAACCTGAACTACTAAAATCTACTTTTTACCTTAAAAAATGAACCACTATTATAATAAAGGTGGCACAATAGAAAGCCATATGATGAATCAGAGTTCATCTTAAGTGCCGTCATATATAGACAATTCACAGGGTCATACACGATTCATCAGGGTAATGTGCATGACACTAAAATAATGCAATAAACATTAACTAAATAACACAAAATGTAACACAAAATGCTCTGATGTACATTACTTCAATAAGAAATACATTTGTTTAAAATATTAATGTCCTTTTACTGTTTTCACTGTAAATATTATTGTTGTAATTTTTGTTTTTGAAAGTGTTTTACAGTAAAATTACATATAATGAAATGTTAAACCATTCACAATTTTTCACTGTGTATGGTAACCAATTAACAGGTTTTCACTCTGTATCACCATTTCTCCCTCCGCATGACACTAAAATAATGCAATAAACATTAACTAAATAACACAAAATGTAACACAAAATGCTCTGATGTACATTACTTCAATAAGAAATACATTTGTTTAAAATATTAATGTCCTTTTACTGTTTTCACTGTAAATATTATTGTTGTACTCAAATTTTTGTTTTTGAAAGTGTTTTACAGTAAAATTACATATAATGAAATGTTAAACCATTCACAATTTTTCACTGTGTATGGTAACCAATTAACAGGTTTTCACTCTGTATCACCATTTCTCCCTCTTCCTCTCTCTCTCTCTGTCTTTTTCCCAGGTGTCTAAGGCTGCTGCAGACCTCATGAGTTACTGTGAGCAGCATGCCCGCAGTGACCCTCTTCTGGTGGGGGTTCCCACCTCTGAGAATCCTTTCAAAGACAAGAAGCCTTGCATCATTCTATAGCTACTTTGTCTAGGCCAGCTATCCCAATCCCTCTTTAACCGCTGCCCATCCCCAGTCAATGGGCAATTCAGTCCAACACTTCTTTTTACCTGGGATCCACAGTATTCTCCAGAAAATAAATGCCACACTCTCTCGGTAAATATAAAAAGGGGCAATATCTGAACAGCTAGCGTCATGTAGCCCGGCTTTGAGTGAATCTATATGAATGAATCTGCACAGCACGCCTGTCTAAATTCATGCATATAGATGTACTTAACAGGAGGTGGCAGATTTCGAATTTGTAAACTATTTCAAAAGATTACACAGAGACTGAGAGATACTCCAGCATGTTTTTCAGTGCAGCGGCTGACCTTGTTACCATAGGTGATGGTGGAGAGTAGAGGAAGACAGTCATGATTATGCTGACTGACTAGCTGGCTAGCCCAGTCACACTGTGGTAAACGCTTGATCAGTATTAACCCTGCATTGTTACGTCGAATCTGCAAGCTAAAGGTTCATTCTAGATTTGTATGGCCAAAATTGAATCCAGGTATGCTTACCTTGATCAAAACAGCACATTTCATGTTTTACAAAGGGATTCAAGACATTAACCAGAGTTGACAATATTTTTACTTTTTTTTTTTTTCTCAGTCCGTTTGTGAGCTGCTTTTTTTTTCTTTTCATCATTAAAAACTCATTAGGCTTAATGCTTTGTTTTTTTCCCCTAGTGTTTATACTATATTTCAGAATCCTCAAACACTAAGTTATAAAGGAATAATTTTATATAATGCAGAAAATATATTTACCTAATAATATCCTTCCCAGTCCTCTCCGAAAGTGCAGTTCAGTATAAAAAATTAGCCCTGTTATTTGAGAGATTAATTTTAAATGAATAAACAACATTTGTGGTATTTGGTATCAAATATAGCTAATCATAATGAATATTTATGATCCTAAAAGCAGAGGCTTAGACATGCCTCGTAAAATTGAGTCATTTTGAATTCGAAGCCCTTGATAATGACAATTTTTTTTTCTTTTCTCTAAAGCCAAACTTGATTGTAAAATCCATACAGAAGGAAAAAACATGTATAAACTTTCTTTTGGATATGTTCAGAGGTGTTAACTTTGAGAATAGCTGTTTGGATTTGTTTGTTCCAATTTCTTCTTTCTATGGAAACATGGAATCTGGTCATTGAGTATGATACTGTACAGTGTTTGATAACTAAAGCGCATAAAAAAATTTTGTGGATGTTTTATCTTTTTGTAATCTTTGTGTAATATTTCCGTTTCTTCCATCATTTATATTTAACCATTCAGTTTGTCCTCTTTAAGGCGAGGCAAAAGATCGAGCGAAGGAATCGATGGACGGCTCCAGTGCTTGTACATGTGATAGTGAATAGGGAATGTGGAATGGATTGTTGACACAATGCCCACGCAAGGTGTTGTTCGAGGCACGTTTCATGAGGTGGTCTGTGTTGTTAAGTCTATCTAAGGGCAGGATGTGCAACAGGCCATCGGGTTTGGCTCAGCCTGAGCAGTCACATGCAAAAGATGAGGGGCAAGGTCAACCCACAACTCTGAATGTCTAATGTGCACCCACCACATGATGCACAATCTTTTGGAATGACGGTTTTCAAAGGTCACTCAAACAGTCACTCGCAGTATTCAGCTAAGTGCTAAAAACAGAATTCCCCCATTGCCCCACAGTGCAGGAAATAGGGGCTCGTAGTGGGACAGACGGGGCCTGTGCTCCTCGCGGCCAACGGGATACTGTCGTCAGCTCCTGTATTAAGAATGACTAAGGCGTGTGGAGGTCACGAGTGCTGTGACTCATCCAGCGATCAACACAATCACGCTGCTGCCCATCAGTGGACAGAGCTGCTTCAGCGACATCACTTCCTGTTAAGCCTGAGCAGAGCAGTGTAATGGCTTAATGCATTTCAAAGTAACTAGAGAAAAACAGACACTTAAGGAGATAAAGAACCGTATTATATAAAGATGAAGGATTATAATTGAATCAATTCAAGTGTTACAATAGATACTTTTAGATTTTTCCATCACTGACGATGTTATTGCAAAAGAAGAGTCACTTAGTAGTCCACATTAGGATGAAGCCTTTCTGGACACGTGCAAAGTGCTCAAATGTGCCAAGCTAGTGCTAAAATAAAGCTAGCACTACAAAAGTTTTTTGACCAGCCACCAGCCAAACTTGCTGTACCACGTTTGATGGTGTTACACTGGAGAAAACACTGTGAAAGTCAGCTAAGCTAAGTTAGCTTGAGTTCTCCACCCACTTAACTCACAGTTTGGGATACACTGTGGGCTCCAAAGTATAGTGTTTACCTGAAGTATGCTAAAAAAACTCCCCCACACTTGGGTTTAATAAGACTCCGCAAGCATTTCGCGGCTTTCTATGTTGTGAGACCTGCTGTTAGGAGCTTGTCCGTTTCTAATTTGCGTTGCGTGCAGCGAGAACATTTAAGGTGCTGAGGAAGCCGTGATACCTTAACCTCAATTCCTCGTTCCCAAACGTTGTTCGACTTCACACACCATCGAGCTCTTTCATGACCATGAGAGGTGAGATTTAGGCTTTGTGTGGGTAATATCTGTAGCTGAGTCCTTAGCCAGTAGATTTCAATCTCAGCCTGTCCCATTACTTTGTGTTTTTTTCCTGTGTATGCATATGTATCTTTCTGCCTTGATTATGAAGAAATATATCTATTTTTTGTAATTGTTCTTCTCGGATGTGCCATAAATCATGTTTTCTTGCACACTGTTAATATTTTGTGGATATTGCTGTTTAAAAATGATGATATTGGAAAAAGTAGATGAAATAAAATAAAGACAAAATGTTACTCTGCATTGATGCCGATCTGTTTATTATACATGCTTTACTGATTTGTTGTAAGCAAGTGGAAATGTCACACAAACATCTGACCCACCAATTTATTATTTATTTTATTTATTTATTTATTTTGTGCAAATAAGTTTTGGGGCATTTTGAAGTCCCTTGTGCATTAATGTTGAAGTGTGTAAATTCTACATGACCAAAATAATTAGCAAAAGTAATGATAGTTTTCAAATGTTTACATGTATATATTTG